CGTGGGGCACATTGCTGAACTGCCAGCTCACGTCTGCGCTACGCACGGGCCCCGTCTGTCCAGAGCGCCATCCGATCGCCCCCAGCACTGCTCGCATTTGGGTGCTCTCCGCATCCGTGGTCGCGAACTCCTTCTGGTTCTCCCCCTGAGGGCTCACGTAGATCTCCTCGATGCCCTTGACGCACTCGTCATGGTCCATCTCGAACCCCTTGTCCATCTCCTGGACGATCTTCACCCCCGTCTGGTAGAACGTGCCATGCCCCCACTCCTTACAGTCGCAGCGAGCTTCCAGCTGAGCCCCGGCCTGCACCCATCTCGTATCGCCAGGACAAGAAGTCATCCACGTGCGAACCCGCTGCGCCGATGATGCCGAGGTCCTTTCTGCGGGCCGCGACATCCGCCTTCACCGGGCTGGCCTCTAGGTACGTCTCGAGACTCGACTGGGCATGCTCCCTGTCATTGCCATGATCCTCGCCGCGCAGGACCCACGCGCACGGGTCAATCTTCGCGCGGGCCCACCCCTGCTCGGCCACTACTTCGGAGACGATCAGAAACCACTCTATGGCCGCCTCCACCAAGCCACGCACCGCCTGCCTGAGCTTCGCAGCGGCACCCTCCGGGACGCCCATCGCCTTCGCAAGCTCAGGGGCCGGGATGACCCACATGTTATCCCGACTGGTCGGCCTGTTCTGCGTGAAAGCTACGGTCACGTCCGCCTCGCACGCGCCCACGCCAAGCCGCGCTGCCATTCGCAAGACCAAGTGCGACATGTCTTTGCCACCGTCGGCGCTGTAGTCGGCCAGTGCTCATACTGCGGATCCACGTAAGCCAACGCCGCCAGTCTCGCTGTCGGCTCGGCGCTGCCGCCCCCCTCGTTTATCCTATACTCCAGGGCCTCCAAGACATATGGCACAAAGACAGAGGACAATGTAGCTGTTCACCTCGACCTGCTCGGCATTGGCGAACCGCCCCGGCTCCTCGATAGTCACGGTGAGCCCCGATTCCTCACGCCCCCCCTTCTTGATCTGGTTGGCCACGAAAGAGTCCATGTCCCTCGTCGCCGCCTTGAGCCTCTTGAGCTGCTGCGGTAGCTCTACAGACACCTCGATCGCGGTCTCCTCCTTGGCCCAGAAACAGGAGGCGTTCGGCTTGGCCTTCTCCGCGATCTCCTCGCGCCCCTCCGCCACCTGCCCCGCGGGCCCCATCGGCGATCTTCTCGTCCGCGGCGCGAGTACACGCCGGCGCGCCGTCCGCCGCGGGCCGCGCCTTCCCGCGGATGTGCACCCTCGGCGCCTCGTCGGCAACTTCGGCCTTCTTGGCGGGAGGTCCCATCGCGCTCTCCCACGAGGCCTCGCCCTCATGGGTCGACCCCTGCGACGCCCATGTGCTGGCCGAGAACGGCGCCCCCATGGCCTTGGAGACTGTCCAGCGCGCGCTCGCGCCAGAGCCCGCCATCAGCTCAGCGCAGGCGATCTCGCCTCACAGGCACTGGCGGCCCGTTGCTGCGCAAGGCCGGCCTTCATGAGTCGGCCCCCTCGGACGAGCCACGACACCGATGATGGTCGCCCACGGCGCATCGTAGGATGCGGGCCCAGCTGGCTCCCCCGGCCGTCCGCGCCGCCGCAGCAGCGAGGGCTCTCGCCAGCCCCTCGCAGGCGCCGCGGACCTCGCTCTTCTCCTTCCAGTAGCTCACGAATGTGCCAGGGGCCACACATTTGAGCGTCTGGTTCTTCCCGTTCAAGGCCTGGCTGATCCTCCTTGGGGGGCCCCTGCTCGGCCCGGAACATCTAGTAATAGTTTCAGCCAACCTGCATGTCCACGCGCTGAGCGCCAACGCAGGGCAGCTCTTCGAAGTCGGGCTCGAAGAAATGGCCGCCTGTGTCCAGGGCGCGACACAGCGCGCGCTGAAGCGGCGAGTGACCTCGAACATCTACACGCGATCTGCCTGCTGCCACCGCGCGAGCTAGGGCCTCCTCGCTGGACGCGGCGCGTCCGCGGTCGCCCTCGTCGATCTGATCGCCTCTTCCTCAATGGAGATGCACCAGCGCGCCTGGCCGGGGCTCACCTCCTGGTGGACCGAGCCCCTGTCGATGTACAACGCTGCTGCCTTGTCCATGCAAGCTACCTCCGGGTCGCACTTGAACCGCGGGGGTTTCCCAATGTCGGAAAGCCATCTCTCCTCGTAGAGCCCCCCCAACTCGTCCCACCGTAGATTCCGATGGGCCGCAGTGCCTTCCAGCCGGCACAGCCACTTGGCCACCCGCACGCGACAGCCTTCATCGATGACCATGCGAGCCTTCAGCCTCTCCTCGAGGCGCGGATGCAGCCACTCGAACAAATCGGCATGGATGCGCTTCCACTTTGCCTGTATACTCTCCAGGGACACTGGTGGAGCGGAAGGCTGCTGCTTGAGCGACTCGACGCAGGCATCGCATATGAACGTCTTGCACGCCTCGATCACCTTCTCGGGCGCCAGTTGTCGCCGCTGGGCTGACTCCATCGCGGCGCGCGAAGCATGGCCACGCCCTCGGCGCACAGAGGTGAGCCATCTATGGATATTGGCGCTGTCCGCCGCGTTGATCTCACTGCCAGCCCCCCCCCATCGGCTCGTCGGGTTTCACAGCCTCGCTGGCCGCGGGGCAGGCGGGCGCGCCCCTCGCGAACTGCAAATAATCACCAGACTCGTCCTCCAACATTGCCCCAGCGGCTCGACGCGCCAATTCGGCCGGGCAGCGCGCGCAGGCTGCCGTCACGCCGCCGTCTTGGAAGTGCTCGCGATCCACCTTGAGGCGCACCGCCACTCGTGAAAACGTCGCGGCCATCAACCACTCCATCTTCGCGACGCCCCCTTCTGGCGCCGTCGCCCAGCGACCTTCGCCGCGATAGCCCCCAGGTCCTCGGCCATCTTCCCGATCGCATCGCGCGCCCACCCGTCGCAGCAGATGCGCCACCCCCAATGGACATGTCCACCGGCGTTCGCCTGGTCGCACGCCACCCGCACGGCACCCACGTGCTCGCGGATGGCTTGCAAGCGCCGCTTGCGGGTCTGATCCACCAGGGAGGGGTTGCCCGAGGCGTCGCTCAGACCCAGGGCGAGTGGCCTGCGGGGCCCACATCTGGACGATATCCACAAGCGCCTTGGCTGATGCTGGCCTCGCGCGTTGCCAGCCACCAGGTCTCCTTCGACTGCCCCGAGCACGTCGCCATTCCAGCGACTCACGCGCAGAGCGGAAACCCGGCCACGCTTCTTCTTATTAGTAATAGTATTATTATTATTATTATTATGTTTATTATTCTTCTTCTTCTTCACCTCAGCACTCCGGGGCGACGTGGGTCTGCAACGCAGCCCCATAAGGCGCGCGCCATTGTCTCGGGCAATCATTGCCGCGAACTCCTTCTCGCCAATCTGCCACCCGACGGCGCTCGCGACGAGGCGCTGCTACGAAGGGCTCAGAGCCCGGAGCTCTTCAATGACTACCCCGCGCCCTGACCGCTCAAGACGCCCCCGCCCCCGGACACAGGGATGTCCTGCCAGCCATTGCCCGACGCGCACACGCTGTCTGAGCCCGCCGCCCCGGGAGCCTCTACCTCCTCAGGCAACTGGCGGATGGCCCCCACCATCTCCCGCATCATGTTCTGCATGTTGCTGATCATGTCCTCCTCGGAACCCTGCGCCATGACGTCCACGCCCCACCTCCTTGCGACCATCGTGGCCCCCCCTGTCGCGGTCGCGCGGGGGCGCCCGCGGCTGCGCCTGCGCGGCCTGGGCCTTTGGGCTCACTGCGTGGTCGCAGCTCTCGGCCACCGCGGCGGCGTCGAGCTACGAGGAAAACCGCTCGAGCTCCCTCGAGCAGTCGATGCCCCCTGCCCGCTGGACACACCACCCTTCGCAGTCCAGATGCAGTGACTTCACCACCTGGCACGTCTTGGCGCCGCCCGCGCACGTCGAACTCTGGATAGTCGTTCCTCCGCGGTGCGGACCTGTCCAAGACCGCCTTGCAGATGCTGATGCGCAGACCCCGCGCGTCGCCCCGGGCGTCGCGCGGGCGCCGATCTGGGTCGCGCGGGCTGTCAACTCGGCCTCCTTCGTGCTCGTGATCCCCTTCAGCTGCTTGCGGTCATCGGCGTCGCCCTCCGGGGACACCTCGCCCTTTGGGGCCCCCCCGAAGTCTGCGGACGCCCACGCCGGACTAATGACCGGCCCCATCTCCTCGAGCAAGTGCGCCACATCCGCCTTCACGAGCGCGTTCACAACTGATCGGTTGCGCGGCCACTCCACCGCGCCTCGCTACATCTCCGAAAACCGCTCCCGCGACTGCAGCGGCGGTGACAGCGCTGGCCGCTCGGCCCCGCCGCGGTTGCACGAGGTCATCAGCGGCCCCCGCGCCGCCGGGTCGCCTGTCGCCTGACTTCTGGTCTCGAGCCGCGATGGCCACGGAAGCACCAGGGCCCACCGTTCTCGTCCGCTCTGGTCTCGCCCTCGGAATCAGATGGAGGGTCGACGATCGACGGGGCAGGGGCGGCGCACGACTGCGAGCATGACTCGGGGCCAGGAGACTCCACTGCGCACGCGTCGCCGCCCGAGGGGCCCCGGGCGCCCTCGCTGCCAGCCAGGGCGGCGGCGATCTCGAAGAAATGCTCGAGCCCCCCGCGGCCCTGCACCTTCCTCGCGAGCAGGTCGTCGACCAGCGACAGGCAGCATTGGTTGTCGCGCTTCTCGAACTGCACGGGCCCCATGGAGGTCTTCGCGAAGAAAGCGGGACCATTAATGCAATCCAGGACGGCGCCCAGGCGAGCCACCACCCGCCTGCCGATCAAAATCGGGACATTCATGTCGACGCCGTCGGCGCAGACGTCACCCACGACGTCCCCCGCCTGCACTTGGAAGCGGACCCAAGGAACACGACAGGCTTGCGGCCCAAGTCCACGTCCATGAGACTGGCGTCGCCATGCCGCATCAAGTTGGCCTGGGCGACGGCGCCCCATGCCTTCGCGCCGCCCGTGGAATCGGCGCAGCCCAGGTCGACGATGCCCTTGCCACGCTCCATCGTGGTCTGGGCGAAGGCGGCGCTCTCTCCCTTCTCGGCAACGATCTCCGCCCTGTCCGCGTCGTGGTCAGCCACCAGCGCCGCAACCAGACCTCCGTGGACCTTCTCGCCCTGCTCGGCCACGCTCGCGCCGCGGAGCCTCTTGTCGCACTTGTCTGGGCGCTGGAGCGTCTGGTGGTTCTTCGGGTCGCACCTCGCACATCCACGAGCTGCTTGATCCCGCGGAGGCTGGAACTTCCATCGTGCTCCGAACTGCCTCGGCATGGGTCGCCGCGCGCCCGGCGGGAAAGCGGATGTCGACCGCCGCGACGAGTTCGGTTTCGAGTCTCCTTTTTCCCACTGGGCCGTTCTCACCTGGTCTATAGAAACCACGACTCGCACGGGCGCCCGCTCGTGCTTCTCGGGTCTGCCTCAGCATCCGCTGCGCGCCCATCATGGCCGAGAGCGCCTCGGCCTCCTCCTGCTGGGCCACCAGGTACGCCTCGCACATCTGCTCGTCGAGGTCCAGGGACTCGCACACATCCCCCAGCTCGCGGCAGCCCATCAGCGACATGTGGTCAACCAGGTCTTCTCGTCATCGCCGATGCTCTGCGCCGCGAACGCCTCCATGGCATTCATGTCCCGGTCGCGGAGGTCGTCATCTACCCAGCCGGTGATCAAGGAAGTCTGCACGGCCTCAAACTCGAGGGAGCCGCCCGTCGACGCCACGATCGCAGCTCTCCCTGGAGTCCAAGCCTGCACGCGCGAGGACCAGACATCCACGAACCAGCCCTGGGAAAACCTCCGGTAGGTCTTCGCTCGTCGTCCGATGGTGGGTCGTCGCTCCCTGCCATATCGTGGCCGGCGCCCATGGGCTCCTCGGGGCGGTTCTCATCCTCCAATGCCCACGAACCCTCTCCATGCTCTTCTTCAGGTTCAATCCATCGCCAGCGCTGGCGATAGGGTGTAATCGATCTCTCCGTCTTCTTCTTCTCCAGAAGTACTGGTAACCCACGAACCTGTCTGTCCACTGCTGCATGGCATCGCCTTTGCGACGCCTCGTCCTGATCAGGAACGTCTCGAACTCTGCGCCCACGTCTGGTACTGGCATCCGGCTGCACTTCTTCTCCAGGTATGTCAACAGATTTTGTGCACTCTGTCTGCGTTTCTGAGCCATCCTGGACGACGCCTCTCCACTGCTGTCTCTGCTCACCCAGTCAGTTGACCCTCGATAAGCGGGCCGCACAGGTATCCGCCCTGCCATTTCGTGGACTTAAAATAATTCTGAGCTCGTAGTCGACAGGCACGCCATTTCTTGGGACATCCGTTACAGGATGGAACGCGTGCCTTCATCTACTCCTCTTCAGCCATCGTGAGCTCACTGCGGCCGCGTGGAGCCACGCAGCTCCGCTACCATGTAGGTGTTCATGCGATAATCCTCGCAAGAGGTGAACATATTGGGCTCAACTTCTTCTCGTATATTCTCACGATGTCCGGGCTCCAACCTCTGCATCGGCCGTCTCGCGCGGCCCCTCAAAAGCTCCGTGCGCCGGCACGGCTGAGGGGGGCCGCTCCCTTCGAGACAAAACGGTCGCGGATGCACAAGCTTGCCCTGCCACGCTCAACTCACCAACTACACCAAGGGGCCCCCAAGAGGGCCCCAAGAGGGCCCCAAAAGTGCCCCAAGACCCGCCAAAGTAGCCGGGCGGAAACCCCAACCAGATGCAGTAGGGAATACCGTACTTGTGGGTATCGTCTTCCGTGGAGCTCCCCATGGGGCCACGAAACGTTGCACTGGGCGGGAGAACCGCACGCGTACTGCGCCACCGGGACCTTCCGTGGAGCTCCCCATGGGGCTACGACGCGGTGTGCTGGGCGGGGAGACCGCATGAGGACTGCGCCACTGGGACCTTCGGTGGAGCTCCCTCTGGGGCCACGAAGCGCTGCACTGGGCGGGGAAAACATGCGAACTGCGCCACTGGTACCTTCGGTGGGGCTCCGTGTGGGGCCACGAAACGCTGTACTGGGCGGGGGAGCCGCATGCGGACCGCGCCACTGGGACCTTCCGTGGAGCTCCTTCTGGGGTCACGAAACGCTGTACTGGGCGGGGGAATCGCATGCGGACCGCGCCACTGGGACCTTCCGTGGAACTCCTTCTGGGGCCACGAAACGCGGCACTGGGCGGGGGAACCACATGCGGACTGCGCCATTGGAACCTTCGGTGGAGCTCCCTGTGGGGACACGAAACGTTGTACTTGCTGGGGAAACCGCATGCGGACTGCGCCATGGGGACCTTCGGTGGAACTCCCTATTTGTGGGGCCACGTAACGTGTGAGGGGTGTGCCAAACTGAGGGGGGGGACGGGAGGGCGGAGAGGTAGGAGGAAGGAAGGAGGGACGCGGGGCGCTGTCTCTTCAAAACGAGGGCCCAATACTACAGGATGGTTGGAATAAAACCCAAAGAGGGCCCCAAC